TAGAGACGGGGTTTCACCATGTTGACCAGGATGGTCTCGATCTCTTGACCTCGTGATCCACCCGCCTCGGCCTCCCAAAGTGCTGGGATTACAGGCGTGAGCCACCACGCCCGGCCGGAAACTGAGGATTTCTTATATCTTGTAGGTATCTTTCCTAAATGTGAGGTCAAGGAATTACAACCAAAAGAGAAGAGTAACACAGGAGAAGTATTCCAAACAGTAATGTTGGAAAGACATGAAAGTCATGGCATAGACGATTTTTGCTTCAGAGAAATCCAAAAAAACGTACGTGACTCTCAGTGTCTAACTCCATCTCAAAAAAAAAAAAAAAAAAAAAAAAAAAAAAAAAAAAAAAAAAAAAAAAAAAAAAAAAAAAAAAAAAAGACATTACAAATTTATGACCTATAAGGGTAGAAAGGATGATATGCAAAAGCAAAATAACCCTATTAAAAATCAGCTTGTATTAAACCTCCAGTCACATCTACCAGAACTGCAGGTATTTCAAGCTGAAGGGAAAATACATCAATATAATCACATGGAAAAATCTATCAACAGTAGTTCCTTAGTTTCCCCACCCCAAAATATTTCTTCTGCTGTCAAAACCCACCTTTCTCATACATACAAATGTCATCTTACGGATTCTGTATTCACAGAAAGAGAGAGAGCAAACGTTCGGACGGAACATTACAAATATAACGAGTGTGGCAAGACCTTTCATCGAGACTTATATTTTACCATATATCAAATAATCCATTCTGAAGAGAAGCAATTTAAATGTGATATATGTGGCAACATCTTCAATAAAAAATCAAACCTTGCAAGTCATCGAAGAATTCATACCAGAGAGAAACTATATAAATGTAACGAATGTGGCAAGGTCTTCAATAACATTTCACACCTTGCACAGCATCGCAGGATTCATACTGGAGAGAAACCTTATAAATGTAATGATTGTAGCAAAGTCTTTAGTCAAATTTCACACCTTACGCAACATCGAAGAATTCATACTGGAGAGAAACCTTATAAATGTAATGACTGTGGAAAGGTGTTCCATCAAATTTCACACCTTGCACAACATCGGACAATTCATACTGGAGAAAAACCTTACAAATGTAATATATGTGGCAAGGTGTTCAGTCGCAACTCCTACCTTGTACAACATCTGGTCATTCACACTGGAGAGAAACCTTACAAATGTCATGAATGTGGAAAGGTCTTCAATCATATTTCACACCTTGCACAACATCGTAGAATTCACACTGGAGAGAAACCTTACAAATGTCAAGAATGTGGCAGGGTCTTCAGTCACAAGTCATCCCTAGCAAACCACTGGAGAATTCATACTGGAGAGAAACCTTACAAATGTCATGAATGCGGCAAGGTATTTAGTCGCAATTCATACCTTGCTCAACATCTGATAATTCATACTGGTGAGAAACCTTACAAGTGTGATGAATGTAACAAAGCGTTCAGTCAAAATTCACATCTTGTACAACATCGTAGAATTCACACTGGAGAGAAACCTTACAAATGTAATGAATGTGGCAAAGTCTTCAGTCAAAATTCATATCTTGTATACCATCAAAGAATTCATACTGGAGAAAAACCTTACAAATGTAATGAATGTGGAAAGGTCTTCAGTCTAAACTCATCCCTAGCACATCATAGGAAAATTCACACTGGAGAGAAACGTTACAAATGTAATGAATGTGGCAAAACCTTTAGCGTGCGTTCAAGCCTTACTAACCATTGTGTAATCCATGCTGGAGAGAAACCTTTCAAATGTAATTAATACCGCAGAGTGTTCAGTCAGTATTAAAGCCTTGCAAGACACATGGTAATTTATATAGGAGAGTTGGGCGTGGTAGCTCAATCCTGTAATCCCAGCACTTTGGGAGGCTGAGGTGAGTGGATCACCTGAGGTTAGGAGTTCAAGAAGCCTGACCAACATGATGAAACCCCTTCTTTACTAAAAATACAAAGATTAGTCAGGAGTGGTGGTGGGAATCTGTAATGCCAGCTACTTGGGAGGCTGAGGCAGGAGAATCGCTTGAACCCAGGAAGCAGAGGTTGCAGCGAGCTAAGATTGCACCATTGCACTCCAACCTGGGTAACAAGTCAAATTCAGTCTCAAAAAAAAAAACCAAAAAAACAAAAACAAAAAACAACTATACTGCAGAGAAACTTTGCAAGGGTAATGAATTTAGCACAGCCTCTAGATTTTGTTCAATGCTTAATAACCATTAGGTGGTCCATAGTGGAGCGAAACCTTACTAATGTATTAAAGGTGGCAAGGCCTTAAGGTATTTCTCCAAAGAATTCTTGCTGGTGAGAAAACTAACAAATGCAATGAATGTCACAAGGTGTTCTGGCACAATTCTCACATTGTACAATGCTGGAAAAATTGATACTGGAGAGAAACATTACAAAAACGCTGAGAGTGGGAAACCGTGATGAGTTCAAACATTGATCAACATCAGAGAATTCATACTAAAGAGCATTTGTATAATTATATGTGATTAGAAGTTTTCCACAGGCCATAGTCACACTAGGCATCAGAAACTTTGATGAAACCATACAAATGTACGGTGCATGCTTAGACTTTCACCAAAGCATCAAAACTGTGGAACATCACAGGGCTTATACTGGAGAGTAACTACACAAAGATAATGAATGAAATAAGCTTTTCAGTGTAATATTCATGATTTTGTCGTGAGAGATCTACTCAATAAAATCCAGGCAAATGTGAATCTGGAAAGGTCACTTGTCTAAGATGCATCTTTAGGGCTCGTTAAAAACTTACACTGGAAATCGGGCATGGTGACTGACCCCTGTAATCCCAGCACTCTGGGAGGCTGAGGTGGACAGATCATGAGGTCAGGAGTTCGGGACCAGCCTGACCAACCTGGTGAAACCCATTTCTACTAAAAATAAATTAGCTGGGTGTGGTGGTGCGTGCCTGTAATCCCAGCTACTCAGGAGGCTGAGGCAGGAGAATCACTTGAATGCAGGAAGTGGAGGTTGCAGTGAGCTGAGATCATGCCACTGAACTCCAGCACTCTAGCCTGGGCAACAGCGAGACTTTGTCTCAAAAAAAAGAAATCATAATGGAACCCTTACAAATGTAACGATATGGTAAGTAATTTGACCAATTTTCTTATAATTTATCTGAGAGCTCACATGAAGTCTAATTCTCTGCCATTAATCTTTTATACTATATTCTGTAGAATAATTACAATTCAAAATATGTTAAAAGTTATGACATATATGAAAGACTCAAGGGTATTTGGAAATGGCCAGTTACCTTAAGGTTATAAAATAATGTATTACATTATTGAAGGAGAAAGGTTTCTTTACCATTTTTGACTTTCAGGCTGACATTTGAAATGTTTTCACGATGTCTTTCTTACAGTCATTTCATGATCTACAGGCAAGAATTGAAGGAAATGGCCTACTTCATTAGGTGAGATCCTTTCTCTTCTTATTTCTGGGAAACAGGGACACTATCTTTTGTAATTAAATATTGGCTGAATACTGGCTAATCCCAGCACTTTGGGAGGCGGAAATGGGTGGATCACTTGAGGTCAGTAGTTCAAGACCAGCCTGGCCAACATGGTGTAACCCCATCTTTACTAAAAACACAAAAATTGGTTGGACATTGTGGCTTGCACCTGTAATCCCAGCTACTCAGGAGGCTGAGGCAGGAGAATAGCTTGAACTCAGAAGTTGAAGGTTGCAGTTAGCCTAGATAATGCCATTTCACTCCAGCCTGGATGACAGAGTGAGACCCTGTCTCAAAATAGAAAGGAAAAAAGAAGTTGGCTGAATTAGGCTTTGGAAGGGTCTGAGAATAATGTAAAGCTGTGGTATCAGTCATACTTATTGCACACAGGGCATCCTTGACAGAGAGGACTAGTGTGGATTATAGAGAAGAAATGCTTTACTAACCAGTCATTAAATAGGGCAGTCCAAGATCTTAAGAGACTGCAGTTTTTATTGAAGACGATTAATATGTTAACAGGAAGTGATTATGTATGGTAGAAGGAATGCAGGGGAAATGTTAGCCACCTTTCCATTGAATGGCAGTAGCTGTCATATAGCAAGATTGAAGAAAAATTGTTGTTAATCTTGAAATTGAAAAGAATACCACAGAGGAAAGGGTTTTTGGTTTTTTGTTTTGTTTTGTTTTCTTTCTTCTATTTGTACAGACAGGGTCTCACTATGTGTCCCAAGCGGGTTTTGAACTCCTGGGCTCAAGCCATCTTTCTGCCTTGGCCTCCCAAAGTTCTGGGATTGCAGGCGTGAGCCTCTGTGCCTGGCCCAAAGAGGAGAGTTTAATGTTAGTTTAAAACAAAAAAGGCACAATAGCATGTTCTTGATTAGAAATCCCTTTTAACTTGAGCATTGCATTTTCCATTGTATGTTTGTTTTTTGAGATAGGATCTCACTCTCTCACCCAGGCTGGAGTGCAAGGAAGCAGTCTTGGCTTACTGCAACCTCCAGTTCCCTGGTTCAAGCAATTTTCCTGCCTCAGCCTTCCGAGTATCTGGGACCACAGGCAGGCCACCACCATGCCCGGCTACTTTTTGTATTGTTTGGTACAGGTGGGGTTTCACTGAGTTGGCCAGGCTACATTTCCTATTGTTTTATTTAGAATGTATCATAGATCTTATGTGTTAATAAGATTTAATGTTGTTTTCTTAACTATGGGTTAATCATGTTCCTTCTACCTGCATAGCTTTATCTTACCTATAGGATTCTTCATATCTAGACACAAACAGTGAGAATCTACAAATTGTTTTCAGGATGGAATCAGACATCATACAATTTGAGGACATACAATCATGCCTGCCTCCTCTGATTGTTACAAAGCTGCCCAGCAGGTTAAACTTGCTTGCCTAACTTTGGGTCTATATATCCTTTTCTCTTGGCTAACCTTACATTTTGGCACCAAACCCAAGAAAAGCATCCTTAACGGGCTCTCTCTGTCCCTCTCTCTCCTGGCCAACCCTCCCCTTCTCAAACCTGCTGAAGACCCAGAGGCTCTCCAAGACTCTCCCACTACCGGCGACCTCATCTACTATCAGAGCCTCTGCCAGGGTAAGAGACTTTTGCCATTCACCCAGAACCCTTGATGTCTCTGCCTTCCCGAAAGACCCAGTGCTGGGCCAAGGGCTTTCTCCAGCCTCCAGGCCTCTGGTTCCTCCATTTCAGGGATGCCTGACTCGGTGGCTACCTCCTGTAATCTGGACAGGGCCCGCAGGACAGGGGACACCCTCTCCTGCGCTGCTTGTCAATTGGCAGTCTCTTCTTCCTCCCCAATTCGCTGTGGGAGCCTTTCGGTCTACATCTTCCAAAACTACCCCCATTGGGTGTCTCCGGTATAGTCTCAATACAAATTCGACAGTGGCTCACAATGGCCCAAAAATGGCACTTTTGATTTCAATGTACCTAGACAACTTTTGCCTTCACAATGGGAAATGGTAGCCATCCTCTCCTCTGCCAGTCCTGTTCTACTTCCCAGATCCTCCTTGCTTACTCTGAACCCAACTCTCCCTGTGTCACTGGCCCCACAACTCCAGCCCATGACTGACAGCCTGCTACACGCCCCACAGCCCCAGGCAACAACTCCTCTGCCTTTGACCCCACTGATTTTTCTCCTCCTCATGATTCCCCACCAGAGCCTCATGATCCTCCGCCATATGCCCTGCTCTGGCCCTATCCCTTCCTCCCCCTCTCTCTCCAACCACCCTGCTTCTGTCCGAGTCCTCCCCATCTCCACCCCTTACCCGACTCAAACCCAACATGCCCAGCAACGAGCTCCCTTGCTTCTCCTTTGGGAAGTAGCAGGGGCTGAAGGACTTGTCCGTGTCTACCTCCACTTCTCCCTCTCTGATGTCTCCTAGATTGAAAACCATCTCGGGTCCTTCTCCTCCAATCCTGATACTTATATCAAAGAATTTAAATATCTCACCTAGTCTGATGAACACACTGATCTCTATATTGCTCTCTCTCCTACCCTCCTTCCAAAAGGGAAGACTGTGGCTCATAGCCCAGGCACAGGCTGACAGTCTTCACTGGCAAGACCCTACAAAGCCTGTAGGAGCCGCTGCTGTTCCCCGGGAAGAGCCTTCCTGAGAGTGCCGACCCACAAACAGTGGCTGGGCATCCCCCAGCCATATGATCACCTGCCTCATTGCAGGCCTTAATAAAGCTGCCAGAAAACCAAAGAAATTTCCCAAAAAGCAGATGAAAATTCGGCCAAGTTCCTTTTCTGCCTTACAGAGGCTCTCCAAAAACATACTCATGTTGACCCTGCCTCCCCAGAAGAAACTACTGTTCTTAATACCCATTTTATCTCTCAATCTGCCCCTGGCATCTGTCACAAACTGAAAAAGGCTGAAGACGGTCCTCAACCCCCCCCAAGAAGACCTCCTTAATCTGGCTTTCAAAGTCTTCAATAACAGGGATGATAAAGTAAATTAGATAAAGCCCCCAAAATCATGCTAAATACCAGCTTCTAGCCACAGCACCCAAGGGCACACATGACCCAACAGCAGGGGCTCTCCTGGGCCTTATTTAAAATGCAGCAAAGAAGGCCACTGGGTGCAGGCATGCTCTAACCCGAGTGCCAGAAACCCCTTGCCCACTTCGCCATCAGACAGGCCACTGGAAGTCTAACGTCCTCTCAACAGACAGAAAAGCTTGCGCCTCAGAGCCACCACCTCTTCAGCAAGACGAAAAGTGAAGCGGGGCTTGCACTCCCGCAGCCTAGCTGCTGAAGCCTGGCGAGGCCCAGGGCCCCCAGCACCCTCTGCCGTTACTGCCTCAGAGCCCAGCGTAACTCTGCTAGTAGCAGGTAAGCCCACTGCTTTTTAAATCAATACTGGGGTACATTCGGCTTTGCCTCAATTCTCAGGACCACTAATTGCTCTCAGGTTTCAGTTGGGGTTGACGGACTCATCTTGTGCCCACATGCCACCGGACGTCTTACTTGTTCCCTATTTAATGCTGTTTTCTCACCCTCTTTCCTTACCATGCCTCATTGCCCTACCTCCATCCTAGGCAGATCTCTAACCAAATTCAAAGCTTCCATCAGCTTTTTCTGTTCCCCACAACCAGATTCTCTCCTACCCCACTACCACAGCAGCCCTCCGCCCCTCCCCCAGTATCCAGTCCCCACTTCTCTTGCTAACCCCGTAATGTGGGACACCACCCCTTCTCCAGCAGCTCGCCATGACCGCATCAAAATCCAGCTAAAAGACCCCTCCAAATTTCCTAACGTCTCCCAGTATCCCATTTCATTAACACACCTAAAAGGCTTACGACCCACCTGTCAGCTAGTCTGCGATTTCCGGACTAGCAATCAGTCCTTCCCATTCATTCGGTGGTTCCCAACCTTTATATACTCCTTTTTTCTCA